TTGCAGTAGGACAAATTATTTATACGACTATGGTTTTGAGTGACTGTTTATTTGTTCCGGATTTCAAGAGGAATTCAATTTTTGTTAGTTGTTTTGGTTAAAACATGGTTTGACAATGCAATTGATTCCTCAGTTACATTTCGAAGTTCATCTTCGTCTTGTTTTGTTCTGGTACATTGTTTAAATAGTCTTTATTACCTATGTCCTATACCCTTTTTTAAATTTGTTATGTTGAATGGAAAGGATGATGAACAAGAACTTTCACCAAAGAAATAAAAGTTTCAAATGAAACATAACTTTGGCCTTTGTGATTGAGTCATATTATCTCAAGTAGGAAACATATTTTAGTTAAAAGAGGGACTAAAAGTTCAATAATCTTTTAACTAACAGCTATATGTTAGTCCTATTTGGAAGGTAAAGTGGCCAAGCAATCCTACAAGGGCCAAAAAGGTTTGCGCAACTATTCAACTGGAACTGGTACATACTAATGTATGTGGACCAATTAGTGTTCAGACCAGAAGAGGTGATGAGTACTTCATTATATGAATGTTTACTCTGGATTGGGACAGATGAACCAAGTACGCTATAAGTCTAAAGCTTTTGGAAATTTCCAAGAGGTTTAAGTCTGAGGCAGAAAAGCATGTAGGTGTTCAAATCAAAACACTTTGCTCTACTGAAGTGTTTGGCTACCTGTTTGGTAATTTCAGGTCTTACCTGATTTAAGAGGGGATAATTTTTGTAACTGTCAACTCTAAGAACGCATTAGTTTAATGAAGTTGTAGTATGCAAAAATCAAACATTTCTAGACTTGGTGAAGATCATGTTCAGTTATTCATCTTTGTCAATGTTGTTCAAGGGAGATGCCTAAGAAAAGGAAATGTACCTTCTTAACTTGGTTCCGTCAAAGTTTGTTGTAAAGACACCTAAAGAATTATGGAAAGGGTGCAAGCCCAGATCAAACCATATTCGGATTTAGGGTGCTACGGCACACGTTCTACAACAGCAGTCAAATGAGATGGAATCTTGTATGAAAGAGTGCATATCTTTTGGCTACCCTAAGAGAACTAGGGATGATTTCTTATTTAGTCATAAGTACAAGATAATCTAAGTGAGCACTCACATGATTTTCTTAAAGGAGGACTAGATAAGAAATTATAAGCTCTTAAGTTAGGTTATTCTTGATGAGATTTATCTCAGATCAAGAATTTCCAGAATCTCTAGAAGCTCCATCCACTGTTCCCTTAATTGTTCAAGAGGGGATAGATATATCTCTAAGTGAACAAACAAGATAACCATGATTGGAAATTCAACATGATAATATATAAGTGAAACTAGTAGAAATATTAGTATCACATGTAAAGGAACAATATCAAGGATAAACGGATCCTCAAGAAATTGAAGATCCATCATTTGACCCGCTCTTTGTTTTACCTATAAATACACAAGGTCTAGTGCAGTACATTCGTAGTGGGAGAGAACCTTGTTAACTCTCAAGTTGTTTCTTGTTGAATGACATTGATCCTACTAGTTACGATAATGCACTAGAAGATGTTGTTGATCAAGTGTTGCTCAGGCTATGAACAATGAGATGAAATACTTGTATTTCAACTCCGTTCGGTCCTAGTAAAGACACTATGAGGGGTAAAACCCACAAGGTGCATGTGGACATAAAAGGCAAAGAGAGGATAGACAGGAAGGTGAAAACCTTCAAAGCTAGCTTGGAGGCAATTATCTCCAGACGCCATGCTTGAGTCTATCCAGATTCTCTTAGTTGCTATAAGTCTCAATTATGAGATTTCATTTTGGGAGTTGGATGTCAGGATATCTACATACAACAACCAAAAGGGTTTATAGCAAATGAGTAGGAACACACGGTATGCAAGTTGTGAAAGTCTATTTCATAGACTTATGCAAGCATCCAGGTCTTGAAACATCAGTTTTGATCAGGTTATCAAAATTTTGATTTTGAGAGAACCTTGATGAATGATGTGTATTTGTATGTAAAGGATACAACGGAAGACAATAGTTTTTCTGGTATTTTATGTAGATGATATGCTCCTTATTAGAAACAATGTGGAGGTAATATCAAGCATAAAGAGTTGGCTAAGTTAGTGTTTTGGTATGGAAGTACTGGGGAAGCCAATTATATTCTTGGTATAAAACTCTTATGAGACCAGAAGAATAAGTTGTTGGCATCACCTCAGGCTACTTACATTGACAAATCCCAAAATTCAACATGAGAATTCTAAGAGAAGAATTATAATTCTCAAATGTGGAATTCATCTTCCTAAGGAGTGACCAAAGACTTCTAAGAAGGAAGAATGCATGATCAAGATATCTTATGCTTTGGCAAAGGTAGACTCACGCATATCATGTTGGACGTTAAACCAGACATCTGTCACGTAGTGGGAGTAGTGAGATAGTACCATTTTGAACCTAGAGGAATACTAGATTATTGTTAAGCATGTACTCAAGTATCTTTGGAGAACGAGAGATTATATGCTGGTATATTCTAGTGGGAGTCTTGAAAAGCCGAGTTTTCAAAAATTCAGTTATTTCAAGTGGATATTAACTCAAGAAAATCAATCTCGAGCTATGAGTTTTTCACTAAACTCAGATAGCATTAGAGGTGGATCTTGCAGACCCAGTTACTAAGAGTTTGCCTGAATTTGTGTTCGAGAGGCATGTTATTTCTTTGGGTCTTAGGAGGATCCCAGACTTGCATTAAGCAAGTGGGAGTTATTGGTTTCATTGCGCTCTTGGAGTAAGACGATGAAACAATAAAATAATTTTCTGAATTTCATAAATAAGGTTTTATTTATTTATTTTGCGCACTATTTACAAACATAAAGGTCCGGATCAAATTGTGGAGTATATGATCATATGGATACGTTCATGGAGGACATGATCATAGGTTCTCACAATTGATGAATGGAGTCACAGCCGTTAAATAAAGTTGGGTACTTTATTCAGGCTGCAATATTTTATGAAATGATTTTGTCCGAATCATTGTAAAATATTGGTGTGAATTAACATTCATATTGAAAGGATCAAGGAGAGATTTGATTAAGGTTGTTTTTCTGCCATAAAGTATCAAATCTCCAGTTAACTATAGTTATGCGATTGCTCTTAATCCTGAGTTTATTATAAATAGGTAATCAAATAGTTTTCATTCTTTGATTTACCAACGGGTGAGATCCGATCTTTTGACGGCCAATAACTCGGTGTTTTGGGAGTGAGATTATTTGATTATCAGTATTTAAGAGATAAACAACAAGGAATTTATAGGAAATGTCCCCTTGATATATTTCGGTACTTGGATATTAAAGACACTAGCCAGTGCATGTAATCCATTAGAGAAATTATCAAAGTCAAGGGAATAAATAATTGATTGGGTTACAGAAAACTAATCAATGAATTATAGACATTCTATAAAGGGGCAATGCATATTAATGTTATAAAGGTCATTAATCTTGGAGTTCACGTTCGGGCTTTTAGTGGAGTAGCGCCGAATTAGATAATCTTGTAAAGATTATCAGGAGCCTTGATCAATGACAAATGGTAGGTCCCCAGGCTAGCTCGAGACAAGGGATGGGGTATATTATCAGATGATGATAGCTTATGGGCTACATGGTCTTGGGTTTACGAACTCAAGTTTGTATCTTAAAGAGCAAGTGGGAGATTGTTGGATATATGCTCTTTTGGTCACTAAAGTCCTATTGGGCTTCAGTGAAACTTGAGCCCATGAGACTTAGGGTTGAGTTATATCTAAGACCTAAGCGTATATATTCATAGTTTTCTCCTCTTGTGCCTCCAAGGTGAACAGATCATCAGAAACAGACCCCAAGAGGCAGACGTTCATCATCTGAACGGTTGCCCACACAACCATCTCATCCTCCTCGAGAGATAGATCTGCCACAGTCCAGCTTCAAGGAGGTTGTTCGTGCTGCGGCGCTAAGGTGAGCTGTTCGTGAAGAGGAATCCTACAAGGGAAGATTCTACACGAGACCTGCGCACCGAGAGGTAATTGTGAAACAATGATGATTCGGTAAGCATACCAATGTACTAGGTCCTAAACCTCTTCCGCATAAATATAAGATTTCCTACAATTTTAAGTTAAAAATTAATCTATTTTTGTAATTTTAATTTATTATAGTTATATTAGTCTTTATTATTATAATTTTTTAATTTTATAATCTAAAACGACATCGTTTTGAACTTACTAGAAATAATTTTATGCCACTGATAAAATACTTTTCTTTTTCCTTTGTTTATTTGTGATAAAGATATTAGTTTAGTATTCACCAAAAAACAATAAAAGATAAAAGATATTAGTTTAGAAAGAATAACAAGTTTTCTTTGATCGCTTTAACTCCCTCTAGACGAATGTCGATCACTTAGTTCTTCCGTCCCTTTCTCAAGGATCGCTGTCTCAAGAATCTAAGTATGGACGTAACCAGGAAAATAAGAAGCCCGAATCTTGAAAAAATACATATTATGGAGTTTTGGGATCCAAGAATTATGGCCACGTGTCACCTTTCTTCAACACTTGTTGCTTGAATAATTTCAAAAACAATACGTTTCTTCTTGGATCTCTCGAAATATCTCTTCAATCAATAATATTGTCTAATTCTTTAAATAAATATCAAACCACATTAATATTTCTAAGAATTTAAAAAATTGTTAATTCTGTACTTTATTTATGGTTTTTTTGTTAAGTTAATAATTGTCACACTATTATTGAATCAATTGTTAATAAAATTTAAAGAAACTAAAAGAAAGAAATAATAAATCTACCTTAGAAGGCCATATCAATAATATCGTGGACCTATATACAATACACGTTCCAAGACTGAGTCTGTGTGCTTATAGAAACACGCCATATTGTCACCCGTGTAGGTAGCAGCAGAATATCAAACCAAACAACTAAAACATCATTTTTATTAATTTTTTAAAGTTACCATGAATAATATACTTATATATATATATGTCCCTTGGCCCCGTAAGAAGAGAGAATCTAGCAAGCTAGAAAAGTAAGAGAGTAGTGTTGATTAAAAAAAGAAAAGAAAGAGCAGCTAGAGAAGGAGGAGATAGAGATGAGGATTTTTCCCAGGTTCAACTCTCTGTCAAGAGCAGTGCATGAGGAAGAAGAGCGTGAGCATGATGAGGAAATAATCACGTACCCTAGAACTAGAAGCGAAGGAAGCTCGTGCATATCACTAACAGTTTGGAGAAAATCCCTGGTTATAAGTTGTAAAGGGTTCACGGTGATCGATTCTTACGGAAATCTGGTGTATAGGGTCGACAATTATACGGGTCACCCAGGCCAAGTCACTCTCATGGACGCCTCAGGAAAATCTATCCTCAACATGTGCCGCCGCAGGGTATCTATCTTTCTTTATGCCTTCAGTTTTTCTTCTTTCTTTTTTTTTGTTTAATTATAAGAATAAAATGTAATAACATTACATAATAATATATTGTTTATGGTTGACGATATGCAGAAGCTTGGATTGTTAGATAGCTGGTTTGTATATGAAGGGGAAGTGGGGAACCAGCGTACGTGGAGGAGTAACTTGTCTAGATCATCAGAGTCTCCAATTTGTTGTGTAAGGAAGCATGTGAATATTTTACACGGCAACTCCAACGTTCAGGCGTACGTGTACCTTGGAGCCTCACACTCAGATAAACGATTTGCTGCGTTTACTATAGAGGGTTCCTACGCACATCGAACGTGTAAGGTGTTGGATGACTGTAAAAGGGTCGTAGCTGAAATTAAGAGGAAGGAAGCCAATACCAAAAACGTATCTTTTGGTGTAGATATTTTTCAGTTAATTGTGCACCCTGGCTTAGATCCTGGCTTTGCCATGGCACTCGTCTTACTCCTCGATCAAATGTTTACTTAGCAGTGTTCGTTTTCCTTATATATACTCTCTCTACTTAATGTATTCTTAATATTTTGGGATGAAGCAAACACATTTTCAATTTTGATATTTTGGTTAAACGCATTTTAAATTGTCATGTGGTCACGAGAGATAATAAATAAAGGATGAAAAGGAAAACCCAATTGAACTGGCCATGTGCTATTTTACTTTATTTGTTTATTGATGGATTAAACCAAGTTTAATTTCTCAAATTATATCTTTCGAATTCACAACACTGATGGGAATTCAATTCGTTTCTACTAATTTCCACTTTCATCTAGAATGAAAGTGGCAGTTACCTAAGAAAAATACTAATAGAGGCAGCAATAGCATGTGCGTAAAGTCATCCAGTCCAACACACAAACGGAGAGACAGACAACTTGCTAGCTATTTGTTGCCTCAAATGATCTACAGTTAGCAAAGAATTATGCCGTTCTGTACACCTGTGTTTAAATTACAACATTTGAATCAAGTTTGCCATTGGAAATGAACCCTTGCAACAAATCTCATTGCAGCCACGGCATTAATATACACAAAACATCCTTTGACTAATAATCTAACATTTTGTAACCACAGCAGCTATCAGCTTCATATGCTTACTTTCTACAGTAGATAATTTTTGATCAAGCTCACATGTCCTTTCCCCTTTTCCAATGCATCAATACTAACTCTCCGACCTTCTGTTGACCAGTATACGTGTTATCCAGAATCGTATCAGCTGGGGGCATCACACTATGCTGCTTCAGGATACTGGCAGTTGAATGTTTGTTTTCCACAATCGAGTCCCTAACCAGTTTACAGGGTAATGATATTCTAGATTTTGAAGCAGTCTAGGCTCTTTTCTTAACATTATTGTAATGAACACCATTTTTATTCTGGACTATGGAAACCCTTAGTTTTTTTGAGGGAATTATCTGCTCCACACTTCTTGCCACCAGGTCAGATCCAATTACCGAAATTGGCGTTGAAGGCATTTCTTCATGTTTTACAGTTGGCTTCAAGTTGTTACATTTAATGGTCTTATGTGAAGTCTTCTTCTGCAGTCTTATAATTCCATACCTGTTTTGCCTAGGTGAATGAGTTGCAATTTCAAAGAGAGTTTGTGCAGCTTCTAATAATCTTGGACAATGCGCATCTGTCACAGACGAAAATATTAAGCAGGGGAGAAGAGAGAGAGGCCTAACTTTACTCACAACTTCAGCAAATTATTTATACGACAAAATTATTAAACAGGCAGGCCTAACATCTAAGTCCTCATAATCAACGCTCACCTCACCAGATTATAAGATTTAAAATACAATTTTGCCACAAACATATTTCACGTTGAAAATAACGTAAAGGGAGATTCCAATTGATTTGTCCTGTAGGCATACTTTGCCCAACCAAGGGAATGAACACGCACGAAGAAAGAAAACAGGTGCAACGACATACTCAAACAAGTGTATGCATATGCGGATATGCAAAAGACGTGTCGTATTCAATAACATCATACAGGGTGTGGGGGAAAGAAGATGAAAAATAAATTAGCTATATTTATATAAACAGTAACAGATATTCAGGTAGCCAAAGAAAAATTTGTACCTGCAGTAGCCTCAGGATCTTTATAACATGTTACAGGAGATGATGAATTCCACTGACAGAAAGGAAGATTAGCAAACAAAGATGGAAATACTTTATTGTCTGAACTACCAGTTGAAGGAACAAGGCTCTGATCATAACTAAACGAATCAAGGTTTGTGAAGCAACCACAATCAATATCAGTAGAGCTAGTAATTACACCTATCCTTGCCCATTTACCTTGGCATGTGCTTCTACTTGTTGATAACTTAACTGCGTCTGAATTAACTCTATAATGGCCACCAAAAGCATGTGCCCATGCAAATGATGGCAAGTTAGGCCGACAACATACCTGCTTGCCAGAATGTAGATTATTACTGCCCTTTGTGGTAACAGCAAGCTTGGACATGTCAAGGAGCAAAGATTCCAAGTCCTCGGATGGAGTGAATGCAATCCGTTCCAAGACATCCGTAAGTTGACATAACGGAAAGTCAAGTGGACAAGAGGGACTTTCATTTTCGCCGCAAGGATCCTGGATGTCAAGTGCTACTGAGTATAAATCACATTACCATTATATACAGTTTTATTATAACCGAAGGTAAATTAGCATTGACACAAGACCGAGCACAAGCAAAAAAAATTCTTAGTGACCAAAGAATTCGAGTACGATGGTGCAGCCTTTATGCTGCACGTAAGAGGTGTCCATTATAATTAGAAAGCCACTCTATTAAGTCAAAACTTGATATATACATGAATTTATTTAATAATAAGTACTAACCTTTTGACATGAAGACATATCCGATGCGCAAGACTGCTCTTTATTCCCATTACTACCACGTCCTACTGCACAAACTGAACTCATTGGGCAAGTGGACATTTTCTTGTTGGAGGAACTATCCATCTCAGCCATATGAACAGACTTCGGGAACTGAGGGATAGAGTACCCGTTTCTAAATGAATTCAAAAATCTTTCACTCGTATTTGATGTCTTCTTCTCTTTAACTTTGTTCAAACCAGGGAAGTCAAAAGTGCCCATGAGCAGCTTATCCAATGGTGGCACATCCATAAGTTTTGTGACATCATGAATATCAAGCTTCAGACCATATAACCCTGGAAACAATTCCCAGTTGAAATGTATGTAATCTCCACTCAGTAATGGCAGCTATAAATCATAAAAACCATAAAGGCATTTTGGTTGAGAAGCTTACAATAACAACCACCACCACCAAGCCTTATCCCACTAGGTGGGGTTGGCTACATAGATCCAAAACCACCGCTGTGCTCTATCAAAATGCTACATCCCACAAGGTCTTTTTAATGGTTTCACCTAGAGTTTTCTTTGGTCTTCGCCTGCCTCTCTTAATCAGACTATGTTCCATTTTATCCACTTTTCTTATTGCTAGAGAAGCTTAAAATTTCAATCAATTATGGTCAAAAAATTTAGGATGTTATATCAGAACATATATCACTGTTTATGTATGGCTGCGTGTGGGTTGGATACTATCAGATATTATAAGTAACGTTACAAAATCACATTATAAGGGGAGCCATAAGTTTGAAATGCCCATTCAGTAAAATAGGCAGGCCCAGAAATAAGAATCACAATTTAAAATAAAACAGAAATAATGACATATAAAAGTTCTAAAAGACAATAGAAACCGGCTCAGGAATTGGGAATCGAATATTGAATCTTTATCGATAAATTCGAAGTTTGAATTGGGAATTGAATATTGAATCTTTATTGATAAATTCCTCCTCAAATTATAGAACAAATGAGTTTCTTGACGAGTGAGGTAGCAAATTACAATGACCCTCTCACCACTATCCTAGCCTTCAAAAAAATCCTAGTCTCTAGGCTTGCCTCTCTGCTTACCAACTGTATGATTCCCCTACTTATTCACTCAATCCGACTTATAATCCCAAATGACCCAACTAACTAATTCTGTTTGGATTTCCCTAACTACCCCTATTAACCGCCAGTTTGGGAATTAACTAGGCCTCACAGAAGCTGGGCCACATGGTTCTTTGACTCCACCATTATATCTTCTAATATAATTTCCTATATTGGAGTTTCTAACGAAATCACAAAGAACTACATATTTAAAAAAATGCCTCCACAGTGACACAAATATAAACACAACGATATTAATTTCAAGAATGTAGTATAACATGTCTATTGTTCAAACAAACAGGTTACAAGCAATTGAGAGACCGAACACATTTGATTGCTTATAAGTTGGCAAGTCCAGAAGCAAAATAGATCAGTTTCTGGTTTCAATAGCATTACAATCACAGCACTAAGAACAAAGCCACAGACATGTTGTTCACTTAATTAGTTCTTCAAAGAGAGAATACATAAGTTCATCAGCATAGCACAATAGTCAACTAGGCAGCTACAGACAGTTTTTTTTTTTTTTTTTTCCCTCCAAAATATTAAATACAATGAACTGATTTGCCAGATAACTTAATGCCACAAACACCTAAATCAAATTCCTAACAGGTTACAAAAGTCATGGCCCTAAGCTATATGTATACTGAGTCATTCAACCACAATGTATCCAAGTGCAGTAAATAATCACATGAAAAGCTAATTTTATGAAGAAATGGAAACTACAGGAGATATATCATTTTTAAAAGAGTACAATAGGCCTAATAAATACATACCGAAGCAGTTGTTCCCTCCATATTTAGAACTGAAGATTGCTGCACCCAATTTCAAAGAAGATAACACATATTTAGCCTTAGAAGAAGGCACTTCGAAGTTCCTTTTATCACGACGTTTGATAGAATGGTGCTTTTGCTTCGAAAATTGACTTTTCTCTATACCAAAAGAAAATCAAAGGAAAACAAGTTGAGATCATACAGATATAAAGCAACTGATCAGGTATACTTGGGGTGGAAATACCTGGAGAAATACATTTTATGTGATGGGGTTCAAGTTTTTTAGAAATATCCTTTGACTCCTCTATTTCTTTCAGGCTTGTGGAATGTTCTGATCCAGACATCCTTGGCCTCTTTGAACATGAACTGTTACTCCGGTTAACTTTTTCTGCTCTTTGTTGTAATGGCAAACCTTCAGGTATAGGACAATTTTTTCCCTTACCACCAGGCACAACTCTTCACCATGAAGATGGGGCAGGTGACTAGAATTCTTACAAAGTTGGGCCTCCAGAAATTCATTCCCGGAGGAAAATTCAGCATCAAATTTCATATTTGCAACATCTAGCACAACAACGTTAACTGGATAAGACCACGTAAGAATGAACATAAAAGTGAAACACTGAACACCATCATGACAAGATTTTAAGTCTTAATAAGACTGATATTAATAGACTTTACATAAAAAACAACATCTCAACCGCCAACCGGTGTGGCATGAATAAAATGGGTAGTTAGAGATGGCAACCATCTCATATATACCTAATACCTATCATGGAGTATTAGGTCCATACTTAACAGGAATGGCTATTTAAAGAAAAAGGAATACCAATGTCGTAGGTTTAAGCCCATTAGGTGCCATGGGACAACTTAAACCCAAGCCTTGAGCAAAAAGAACGAGAACCCCCACCACCAGGCTATAACACTTTACCCAACATGCATGTACGGCATACATGGATACTCCAATACGTTCCAATCCCATTAATTGGGAAAACAACAATTGGAAGATATTTCAAGTTTAACCTTCAGTCATACGATGGATTGTGACAAGTGAAAAAATAATAGTAATAATGCTCCCGTTCGTTAATCCAATCATTTTCAGTTCTCAAGAGGAAATTCTAAACCGAAAATATTAAAAAAATGGAAAAGATATTTGTTGAGCAGAGTGTTTTTTTTTTTTTTTTTCCTTAAGCAATTAGGCTTTTTCGCATCATCAAACTTTCAAAATGGTCCAAGATTGAATAGATCAAAACATTCAAAACAATGGAGCAATGCTAGCAAATCATGTTACACAAAAAATGACATAATAAGACAGTGAGGCTAAAATAAAAGAAGTTTGAAGAATATGATAAATATATAATAAACAATAAGAAGGGATAAACAGTGACTTACCATTTTCACAGAGACAGGAGTTGCAACACTCGATTGAACAGCTAACTGTGAGTGAAACGTGGTCAGACCCTGGAGCCTACTTAACAATGAGAAAACCCTCTGTCTGCGAAGGCACTTTAGAAGAACACAACACAAGCAGTGACAAATTTGTTTGGAGCTGAGAGCTGAAAATGAGTGAATTTGTGGTGGCTGTTTTGGTGTACTCCTTCTAGGGCAAATGAAGGTATATATAGTTTGTGGGAATACGGCTACTTGTGTTCGTCGATGGGGAATATTCCGGTGAGGTCAACTCGCAACTCCTTCTCTTTCTCTTTTGAGGGCTTTCTGTCTTTTCATCTTTCCTTGACGTGGCATTATCTGTTAGCTGGGCTGGGGCCAACGAAGTGATGACTCGTCAGTCGTCAAAAAGTGAGTTCGTCATGTTGTGCGAATATTGGTCTAATTATTTTGACAAAAATATTATTCTTGCACTTGTTTTTACATTTATCTTTTACAAAGAAAATTTATTTTTTATCTCTCTCCTTTTTAATGGAGATAAATATAAAAGGTCATAAAAAAAAGGTTAGGGAAAGATCCGTTTATAAATTTCTGTAAATTATATTATGTACTTCCGGAAGTATATAATATAACCTAGTATATTTCTGAGAGTACACGATATAATTTGTAAGAGTTTGTAAATAAAAAATTTATAAATATAACTCTTCCTGTGTAAAAAATGTGCACAAGTTTAATGGTGAGATTAACATTGCTAACTATTTAATTTAGGGTTTGCTTTTGCTAAGTCAATGTAGATAACTTATCTACAGAGAACCCAAAACGACATTGTTTTGAGGTGAAAATCAAGATATTTTTTATAATTATAATTTATTTCAGGGTTATAATAGTCTTTTTCATTATAATTTTTTAATTTTTTAACTCAAAACGACGTCGTTTAGAGAGCAAATGTAGATAGCTTATCTACATTCACTTTAGAAACATTAAACCCTTTAATTTAACCTAATACATTTGTCAAACTATTATTTAATCAATCACGCTCAATTTTCTTTTATAATAATAAAAGTACATGTACGTATGAAAGAAAAGGTTTATACTTTATAATATTTCAAAACTAAATTATTTTTAAATTTGTGAATTATGTTTTTCTATCATTTTCTCAATGTAAACTATGCATCATAGTAAAATAACAAAATAATCAGTAGGTATTTGCTCCTTCGAAAATAGGCATTTTCAGACATCTTAGCTCTTTTGAATTTCTTTTTATTGTCTCGAATTACATTCCATGGCATTGACCATGTACCCAGGAGCCACCTCCTTGTGTCGTTATTATTTGAAATTTTATAAATTTGTATTTATAAAATTTAAAATCTGAAATAGAAATTTAATTATAAAATTTTAATTTAAGTATAAAAACGTGTTGGTGGGCGGGGCTGGTAGGCCCTATGTGCCAAGCCCAATTTGCAACCTTTAACTATCAGCATCCTTATATTTTTTGTTTAATCTATAATGTTATATTAAAATTCAAATTTCTTTTATATATATATATGGGGTAGGATATTGTAACAACCAATTAGTGTTACTACTAATATTTCTGCCAATCAATTTTACCGTTAAATCAAGTATGTGGATCAAACGGTTATATTTATTTCCATATTTGTATAGTTATGATTCCCCATATTTGATAATTTATAATTATTTTTACCTTTGTATGGTTATGATTTCCCGTATTTAATACTTTCACATTAAATCGGGGAATCATAACCACACAAAGATAAAAATAAATATAACTATTGGATCAACATAATCGATCTAACGGTGAAATTGATTGGTAGTAAGTAGTAACACTAAATTGTTAGAATATCTTTCCCATATATATATATATATATATAGCTTTTTCCCATTACAGAAACATTAAATGTTGAACTCTTTTTTCACTTATCAAGTTTAAAATTCAAATTTAAAAAATTTGAATTTTAAATGTTAAATAATTTTCCACCCAATAAAAACTATAATTAATATTATTAATAGGTTTAATAATTTTCATACAGAAAGTAGTGAAAAATATGCATAGAAGGATGTGCACATTCTCCAAGTAATAATTTATAGTTTTCATTTACGACATAGGAAATTGTGTTTTTTTTTACTCTTACATCAAAACAATGAAAGTTTAATTTTTTTCTTATATATTAAATTAAAACTCGTATTGTTATAATGATTAAATTTTTTATTTATTTATTTACAAAATGATAAATGCCATTTTTTATTTTTTGTTTAAATTCTTTTATTTTCATTCAGAATATTTTTTATATGTGTAACACAAATATAATGAACAAATATGAGTTGATACAAAAAGTAGTCTACTAAATCGAATGTTTGGTGAATTGAATTGAATTGAATTGCATTTAATATAATCGAATATTTTTGTATTAATTAGACATATTTTTGAAAATTTAATTTTTTTCTTTTAATTTATAAATTTTATATTTTTTAATATTGGTTATACATATATATTTAAAACATTTATGTTAAAAAATACTTGTGTGGAAATATTTTTCTCGTTTTGTATTACTTTTTAAAGTTAAATTTTTAATTTATTTAACATAAAAATATGTCATTTCTAATTTTTTCATTTAGATTTAAAATTTAAATTATTTTTTATCAACTATACATATTTTTTATAAATTTTAAATAATTTGTTGTTTAATCTATAATTTAACATATTAAATTTAATTTTATTATATATTTTTTTTAATGCAGAATTCTTTTTCCACCTATCGAGTTAAAAATTCAAATTTAAAAAGTTTGAATTTTGAAATATTAAATATTTTCGCACCCAATAGACATAATAACAAATATTATTAATAGATTTAACAATTTTTCATACTAAAAGTAGTGGGAAACATGCATAGAAGGTTGTGTATATTCTCCATGAAACGATGGATTTTCCATTTTCAAGTAGCATTGGTAATGCACTTTTCACCTTCCAACATAATAATTTAAAACCTTACAATTCCAATATAAAAATGATAGTGGGACATTAATTTGATGTATGCTGCCACTAACACTTTAATTTTGAAATTTAATTTACTTAACTTAATTTTTAGTTATTTATTTATTTTCAAAATTGGCAAGCAAGTGAGAACACACAGGAGGCAGAAGATTAAACGTCTGAATAGTTTGAAGGTTATAAGAAAATATCAAATGATGAGTTTTCCATTTTCAAGTAACATTAGTAAAGAACCTTTCATCTTCCAATATAACAATTAAAATTTTATAATTCCAATGTAAAAATGATAGTGGGTCATTAATTAGATGTCTCCCACTAATTTCTTAATTTTGGTTTTTGATTTAATTAAAAACTTATTATGTAATTTTTTTTAAATTGACATGCAAGTGTGAACACAAAGCTGAAACTGCATGAGAGCTTGACACATCGATTTTTTTGGTTCTCCTTTTAAGTATATAATAATAAATGAAAATTTAATACAGTTGTCTCCTACTAAAAGATGTTAAACCCTTTTTCGCACCTATATCAACTTCAAATTTTGAATTTTAAAAAAGAAGTAGGATATTAATACATTTATTTGCCACTAATTAATGCTAAACTCTTTTCGCACTAACTATTTAGTTTAAATATTTTAAATTTTGAATTAAAATAAAATATTTTTCATTCATATGTGATTTTAAATTCTATATCTCGTATAAAAGCGTAATTAATGTTGAACTCTTTTCTTTGTGTCTTTGGATTTTTCGATAAATATGGAAAAGAAACATTAAATATTTTTTAAAATGAGGGTTAACAATTCCCATTTAGAAAATAGAGAAAATTTAATACAGTTGTCTCCACTAAAAGATGTTAAATTCTTTTTCCACCTATATCAACTTCAAATTTCAAAATTTCAAAAAAAAAAGTGGGATATTAATGAACCTGTGTGCCACTAATTAATGCTGAACTCTT